TGTTTGAGTCTTGTTCTAGTTCTTCTGGAAATGCCCGAGAAGTCAAGAAGTGAACGGGTCTCATGCCCACAAGTCAAGCCAATTGCTTGAAACCCTAAACCCTAAACAGCTGAAGCCCTAAACCCTAAACCCTAAACAGCTGAAACCCTAAACCCTAAACGATTCTGGCCGGTGGGGTTCTGGCTCTAGGGACGAACCCCGGAGTGCCGGCTTAGGGCGTATGGTTTAGGGTTTAGGACCCTCAACCTCAAAGCCTAAACCCCCAAGAAGCCCAGAAGAGTTTATTCAGGCCGCGGCGTCTGCATCGTTTGTGCCTGGAACTCTGAAGGAAAAGTCACCTCTACCTGGAAAGGAAAGGCTGAATTTTTAGGGTTCATAAAGGATTCGAAGATGAGGGTTGAAGGTTTAGGACTAGATTGTGAGATCCATAGGCTTCAGTATAGGTTCATGGCCTACAAGTTTGTGGAGGTGTGGGCGACATTTATGTCTTTCAGGTCCTGCAGTTTTGGGGCCTTCTGATGGGTCCAACATGTAAGGTATGGGGTGAGGATGGCTTAGGACCAAGAGCTTGCAGGGCATGGGTTTGGGGATCTGCAAGATCACACCCTGGTATGGGACCCTTGACCATTGAAGATTACCAACTCTTGAAGCTTCTCCCTAAACCCTAAACCCTACCAAACTTTAGGTTGCAGGCTCCCCTGCAAGAGTGGCTGTAGAGCCCAGCCCAAACTTTGTGGGGCGGCTATAATAGTATAGGCTCATGAAGCCCGAAACCCTTAAATCCTAAACCCGTAAACCCGTATCTTGGTTCAGGCATGCCCAGCTTCCTAGACCTTCGGGTCTTTGAAACAAACTAGCAATCGACGATACGGGCTCGGGCTATCGAACCGAAGTCACAGAAGTGTCAGGGTTTAGGGTTTAGGGCTTAGGGTTTAGGTATAGGATTTATGGTGTTTGTGAGGGGCCCTTTGTACCAAACATCGGGAAAGCACGTTGCCGGCCTAAGCATGAAAAATCAAAGCTCCAGGTTCCAAGATTCAACACCTTTTATCTTTTGCAATCATCCAACGGCATGAACCCAAAACCCCAGCCGTGCATATGCGACACAACCCCTGAACCCAAGACTCGACGTGATGTCGAAGGTTGAGCAAGCAGTGACACTATTTTGGAGTACACTTCCCGTCAAAACCGTGGGAAAGGCCTGACCTGACCTTCAATCTCTACCTGTGGCCCAAAAGACCTATCTTTTTAAGGAGCTTTATATATAGAAACCATAATACCCAAAAACCCCAAGAATTCACAAGGAGCAAACCCTAAACCCTAAACCGTGAACCCTAAATCTTGAAGAACTTTGTATAGAAACCACAACAATACCCCTAAACCCCAAGAAATAACAAGGAGCCCTTAAAAGGTAGGTCTTTTCGGACACAGGTAAACCCCCAAAACGTGGAGCTGGACGACTGGAGGCCTCCCCAGGGCCAAAAGGGGGTTTGCAGCCTTCTGGGCCTTCTGGGGTTGAGAGTTTAAGGATTAGAGTTTGGGGTTAGGGCTTAGGGCTTATTTAGTTTAGGATTTGGGTTTTTATAGTGTATGTAATATGAATCTGCACATACTTGCACATTTCTGCCCTCCTCCAAATTTTGGTGCGCACCTTCATCAGGGGCTCCAGGACGACAGGATTTGCATCGTCTCAGCAATGCAAGAAGGCTGGTGGAGAGTCAGGTTTGCGCTGCACATTGGATTTGGAGTTTGTTCGGGCTTTCGGGGCCTTATGGCTTTAACGCTCATGCTCATACAGAAAGCTTGTTGAAGTCTACAGGGTCTCAAGCTTTGGGATACGAGGTGAAGGAGTTTGATGCCTTCCTCGTAGGGAGGCGGCTGTTCAGCGCGAAATTGCGCGGAACATCGCGCTGCCGGCGGAACCCCGAAGGTTCAGTCAAAACAAGAAGCCCCCAAAGCTCCTTGCCAACAAGTACAAGGTTCACAAGTCCCGTCTGAAAGCTGTTATCCCTAAAGTCTGGGCCCTATAAACACGAATTGAAGTGGACCCTCTTCTTTTTTTCGGGGTTCAGATCTTAGGGTTTACGTGATTCGGGGCCATGTGCTGGGCCGTGGTCCCTCGTACTCCTCCATGCCACCATGTGAGCAAAAGCCATTGTTCACGTCCTGCCTGGACCCTTCCGAGCAGTTCCTCTCCTCTAGCTACCTAAAATCCATGATGTCAAACTCGCTATCCAAGAGAGTGTACTACAACCCTGGGTCTATACCCCGATCCCTACAAAATACTATACGTACCTTGAGCTAAAAGCAAATATATAACGCCCCCGATTATAATGCATTTCAAATTTCATGTTGCTTAATCAAGGCTCTCTAAGACCCAACGAACTCTTCAAAACCCAGTTGCGAACCCCATGCCAAACCCTAAAAGTCCTAAAGGAGCCCCATGAAATCAACAAACCCCGTAACTTCTCTACACTCACCAAAACCTACACAGTAAACCTTCATCCCTAGAGCCTATAAGACCCTAGACCCTAAACCCTTATCCCGACGCCACTAAGCCCTAAAACCTTAGAGCTCTAAAACCCTAAACCCTACACCCCTAATCACCCCTAACCCATAAACCCTAATCCCTACACTCCTGGACCCTAAACACCTAAACCCTACACCCCTGAACCCCTAAACCCTAAACACATCCCACACCCCTAACCCCCTAAACCCTAAACCCCTCATCGGCTGTGGCGCCCGGCTGTAGAAATTTTCAAACGCGCCCTGGGCGGCGGCCATGAAGGCCTCTGAGGAGGAGTCCACCTCGCAAAGCTTGAGGCTTTCAGGATTTTACGTTTTCAGGGTTTTTAGGGTTTTTAGGGTTTAGGGTTTAGTGTTTCGGTTTAGGGTTTAGGCTTTGGGGTTAGGGTTTTAGGTTTTAGGGTTTAGGGCTTAGGGCTTAGAGCCGTAAGGTTTAGGGTGTAACTGTAAGGTTTCGGTTGCTTCCTTCAGGGTTTCATGCTTCGTGTCTGCTTTGTTGTAGGTCAGCTTTGGGGCCATTAGTTCGGCTTGAAGGATCAGGCTTTTGGGTCAAGCCAAAAGCTTACCTTAAGCTATAGAGGTGCCCTTAAGTACCTTAAGTGATAGAGGGGTCCTGAGTATCGTATGGGCTTCCTGGTTTGGTCTGAGTCTTCAGAAGCGCTCCGTCTTGACTTTGAGGTTTAGCACTTCAGGCTAGTTTGGGGTTTAGGACCTTTGCACACCTCTGGCAGAGCTTCGCCGGAGGAAAGGCGACTTTCAGAACAAAAAAAAAGGGGGGCCTATTGACAGTATGGCACACCCTCCCAGACTAAACAGAAGCCGCTGAAACCTGAACAAAGCCACTAAGAACACTTCAACATAAAACCCCACAAGATGCCATGAAACCCTGTAAAGCAACAGAACCCAACACGCACCAAAGCAACTCCCAAGAAAACGCATGAAGCCAACACACACAAAAAGCACGAACGCCAATGCAAGACATCCCCTTGCAGTCTCATATCCCTATTATTCTAATTAACCCTAAACCCCAAACCGTAATTAAGGCTATTCTAACTATTAAAGTCCCCCCCATAGTATCATATGCCCCCCCCCCCCCCCAAAGCCCTCGAATGGCGCCTCATGGGAGGCTCCATCCTCCAACACCTGACAAAGCATTATCTCCTTTAGGGCTTGGGCGGGGGTTTAGGGGTTCAGGGTTTAGGGTTGAGGGGTTCAGGGTTTAGCGGTTTTTGGGGGGCCAAGCATTCTCTTCAGGGCTTCTCAAACACGCATTAAAAGCTTTCGCGCCACGTTCTGATGGTTTCGAAGCGGCTTTCAAGGTTTTTATGCGGTTTTAGAAGATGTAGAGGGTTGGAACGGGGGTTATAGGTGGTGTACAAGGAGTTGTTCAGGGTTGTAGACGGTTTTTTTTGCATGTGTTTCGTAGGCTTTAGTTCAAGGCCTTGTAGGCTTTAAGGGCTCTACGAGAATGGTCTCTTCTTGAGGCTTGACAGGGCTTTCGGAGTCAGAACGTTAAGGCCTTGAATACGGCTTTCGGGCCGCTTTAGGGTGTTAAGGTCTACGGCTGTTCTGGTAGCCCAGCGAAGTTAAAAGCCTTTGGCAAGCTTTCGGCAAGTTGATGAGGGGCAGAGGCTGGGAGGGTGATAAACCACAAAACCTTAAACATCCCTAAACCGCAAACCCATCTAAACCCCAAAGGCTTTTTTTGCTTCTTTTTGCTTTGGTCTTGAGGCCTTTTCGGTGCAGGGGCGTGGGTTTGGTGGGGAGGGCTTGGGCTTATCTTGGTGGAAATAAGGGGGCTCCAGGGCAAATTTCAACCAATGGTTCAAAGCATCGCTTTTAATTCCAAGACCCTTTTGGACCTCTTCTGGAAGATAAGCCGCCTAGAAATTACATCTGATACGTTTTCATGTGAACTAAGCCCGACTGCAGATTTCGAGATTTGCGGCTATTGCATGAAGATGGCATGGTGACAGAAGTGAATTCCTCAAGCCACCATGCTTTAGAGTATCCAAGCAAGAAAACTTCACAAGGCAGAAGGCGACAGAACTCGGGCCATCCCGGTCGTGAAGATAACCATGTTCGTACATCAGAAATAAAACCGCAGCTAGCTGGTAAATTATCCTCGACACCCTAGACTCCTGTCGAATTACATAAACTTTCACCCTGAACCCATAAGCCGTAACCCGAAACCCAAAAATCCTCTAAGACCTAAACTCCCTAAACCACAACACCTAACAACATCAAAACCTAAGCTCCCTCAGCCACAAAAACAACAATCATCTGAATTCCTAGTGCCGCAACTCTAAACCCTAAAACCTAAACCCCTACCCGGACCCTAAAGAACCTGCCTCTTTAGGTGTCCTTACTATGATTTCTTTATATGAGTCCTTAAACATGTAGGTTCCTTGGGGTTAAGGTATACCCCAAACCCCTAAACCCTAAACCCTGTAAACTCGCACCGGGGCCCGAACGCAGCGCATGTAGATCAGCGGACTGCCGATCAGCAGGCCCTTCCTGCGAGGCTTTGGGGCTTAAGGTTTAAGTTTTAGGGTTTATACGGTTTAAAGGGCTTAAGGTTTAGGGCTTAAGGTTTGAAAGGTCTACTGTTTAGGGTGTAGGGTTCAAGGTTTAGGGTACATAATAGGGTTTGAGGTTTAGGGTTTAGAGTTTAAGGTTTAAGGTTGTAGTAGGGGCGTCCGAGGTGAGGCGTTCGGGCTTTGAGGTTTGAGGCTTAGGGTTCCCCCTTACATGGCATTCTACGTGTATTTTGAAGGCCCCATAAGAGTTATAGGGTTAAGAGTTAAGAGTCTACAAAAAGGGCTTTGGGGATCAGGCTAAACGGGTTCAGGATTTAGGAACTGGGAGGTTTATATGGTGTGAAATCGAGACCTGAACCTCAAGCCCGATAGCCTCCTGCAAACGCGCTGGTTTGATATGTGTCTGCAGAGAGTCTTCCAACTGTCAGCTTCGTGAAAACTGTTGAGCTTTAAAGACTTTCCCGTCAGGGTCGAAAGAACCCAATAATTCCGTGCTGGGGTTTATCATAGCATTATGTAACGTAGGTTAGTACGTCGTGCCGTCAATGTGGAGAATGTAAAGATATGTGTCCTTGGACTTGGATCTGTGGGGATTTCTAATCGTCCGCAGCCAGAAGCCCATTTCGTTTCCGTAGACGCAAGCCCAGTAGAAGCAATACGAACAAGTGATCGGTGGACTTTGCCAGGGTGTTGAACTCGGAGGCTAGCCCCAGAAGACCAACGATAATCTATACATACACATACACATACACACACACACACATATATATATATGTATGTGTATATATATATGCACATATATATATACGTGTCTATGAAACATGTACGTATATATCTATGTGTATATGTATATGTATATGTATATGTATATGTATATGTATATGTATATGTATATGTATATGTATATGTATGTATATATATATATGTATATGTTTATGTGTGTGTATATATACATATACCCACACTATATGTAATATTTTACACAGCATCTAAGCCACTACGTAGCTACTTATTAATTACAGTGTAGTAGTAATCCATGAACAGTGACCCAGGCTTGTGGGGGTATACTTGAAAGGCTTCTTGGGCTGTTTCGAAGCCACACTTCCAGTCTAGCACTTAACTCAACCCTACAAGAAACAAGTTGTTACATATTATTCGTGAATTCCGTGTCAAAGGGCCGTCTGGGAGATGTCGGGCCAAAACCAACGCAGGGTGCAATGTTGAACACGAAGATTACATAGCTGTGGCATGGGGCTTAGGATGTAGCTACTTAGCATGTAACTGCGCTCTGACTTTGTTTCTAGCTGTATCAATGCAAGATCTTTTGCAAAAAGATCATGGCCTTCTCCCCACATACCCCGACACCGTCGCAGGTTTTACACAACCACCTGTGTCACGCTAGGGTCTTTCCAAAAACAGGAGAGGCTTGTGGTGTCCATTGCGCAGTCACAATCAAGTAGTGTGTTCAATCGACACTTACCAGTTCTGCAGGGTTTTATTTTCCAGCTATATGCATACACGCCCATAAACTCTACACCACATGCATATATATATATAACACCCAAGCAAACTTAGAGACAACCCAACAAATTCAATACCCCAGCGCAAGCTCGAGTTTTGGAGAACTCTGCCGTTCAAAGACCCTAATTTACAAACACGCACGCACGCACGCACGAAGACTGCAATGCCCCTGTAAAATATGAACACTAAACCCTCAGCCTTTCTTCTTTCCCTGAGACTCCCGGCTGAGTGGCATTTCGGAAGCCCTTCTCGATGGAAGGAACCTCTGCGAACCGATGTCTGAACATTGCAAATCATGGTTTTGTATGATTGTCTAGGAATCAAGCACGGCTTTGCATGGGCTTTGCAATGGCGTTTTTGGGTCCTGGGGCCATGAGATTTGGAGTGTGAGGCTTTAGGGTTGAAGCATCGGGTCAATGATGTGCGGTCTCGGCCCTCTAGTGTTTAACTGTAGGACACAAATTCACTTTTTCCGGTTCCTCACCAAGGCTGCCTTATAAACATTGTTCTAAGGTTCTTCTTTGCACTACATGTGAACAAGGTTCAGTTGAGGTTTAGGGTTCAGATCCAGAGTCTACTGTGAGTTGGCTTTAGGGTTTAGGGCTCAGGGTTAATAGCCCCAAATACTGCTAGCTCTACGCTCTTCTGGTACTGTAGGGGCCTTAATAATCAGAGTAGGGTTTTGAGGCTCCTTGAAAGTATAGTTAAATTACGAAGTCTGAACCCGAAACCCTAAGCCCTAAATGATATATGCTTCCATATTAGCCTCGTGAATAACTAATAAAGCTGAGACTCATGGGCCCGAAACCTGGGTTCCCAGCGACTCCCAAACCCCTTTTTAGGGTTTGAAGGTTTATAGGGGTTTAAGGGTTTTTGCAAGATGTCAGCGGACGTCCCATGCGAGAAGAACGCAAGAGATCCAGAACGAGACAGCTAATTGTCTAATCGATGCCAGCAAATACATCACCGCCGTCGCTGTCTGTGGCGTTGGCCACAAATTCCACACAACTTGCGGATGCACAGCCGACAATGGGCAACTACGAAATACATTAGCTGGAGGCGAGGGCGGCCGTTTAACGACTAAGTCGTGCTGCGCGCAACTCCTCCTCCAACTTCACGGTCATCTGGCCTTTGGGCCGCAAAGCCCCAGGGAAAAGAAGGCCTCCGCCAAGTCCGGCACCCGCGGCTTAGGTGCCGGCGTGGCTGGACCTTGCGTCCCTTGGCCGCCGGTTTGCGCCACAAACTCAATGTATGTCCACCACTGACACAGACGAATTTGTCTGCTTCCATGACTGAGACGTGAAAAAATCATGCAGCACCCACAGAATCGTGCGGGCCCATCAAGCAAGGGGTTTAGGAGTTAGGGGTTGCACCTGAAACTAGAATTGGGGATCCCTGTTGTGATTAGTAAAAGAAGTACTAGTACTAGTATTTGTATTTCTTTTTTTTACTGCTATATAACCTATTACTACCATTATTGGTTATGCTACTATTGCTAAAACTAATATAGTAACTAAATTGATGTTTGATGTATCCCTAGACTGAGGGTTTCTTTTAGGGTCTCCGGATTTGGGTGAGTTTTCCTGGAGGCTCAGGGTTCAGAACTTGGGGTGCTGACAAGGGTAGAAATCCCACGGTTTGGGTTTAGGGAGCTGTTAGCACTAAGACAGGCGCCTAGGAAACGTGAGCACCGCATGCTAGGTCCCATACACCTAAACCCAACCTGGACCCCAAATTACGTACCTTTTTGGGGTTCCTTGTTATAATTTCTTTATAGACGTCCTTATAGAAAGGTCGATTCTTTGGGGTTAAGGAAAGTCCTAAATCCACTCCACCTTGCAGAGCTCTAGGGTCCAGGCTTTGCACAAGGTTTTCGAGATTATAGGCATAGGGTTTAGGAATCATTGGTTTAAGGTGTAGGGATTAAAGGTTTGGGGTTTAGAGATAAGGGCTTGGGGCTTAGGGGTACGGGCTCAGGGTCTCTAGGGTTTAGGGAAGTTTAGGGCCTAGGACCCCGATGGTTTAACAGTTTGAAGCTCCAGGCATCTCTCATACTTGCGGACTCTGAATGCAAGGGCCAGATGTCACAAACGTGCGCAGCTTCGTCTAGGGGCATCCTCCAGGCTTATCCAGATGAGAGGGCCTATACCCTAAAACCCTAACCCTAAA